ATAGACATATTATAGTGGCATGATTGTGAACTAAAATAATAATAATAATAATAATATATATTTTAATAATTTTTATTAGATAAGTTCTATATATCTTATTAAATATTTATATATTGTATATAAATTTATATATCATTAAATTTTATTCATTAATTGACTTATTCATCTTATTTTATAAAACTTTAAGTATAATTATAAAAATAATTTATTGTTTTATTATTGGGTTAAATAATAATCTCTTTATTTATTAATATTATTGCTTACAAGTTACTATTTCAAATTATTTTATCAAGTTTTAATAAAAATTAAAATTCAATCAATTTTATTTTATATAAGACCTTCATTATTAAAATTGTTGATTTTATTTTTTTAAAAATTTTATTTTGTTTTTTCTTATATAAAGTTTTTTGAATCTTTTAATTTAATTTAATTTTTTTTTATAGATTTCTTATAACTTTTTTCATTTTATATTTTTTTTATATCTTATATTTTGGATCTTTTTCTTGATATAATTGTGGATTTTTTTATTTTTTTTTTTTTTGTATTATTAATATTTACAGCATTTTTTTTTTTTTTATTTTGAATTCAATTTTTCTTTTATTGTATTTCAGCTCTATCGTTTTATGATAAAGTTATTTTTAATTAAGCCTGTACTGAAATTTATTAGTTTTAGAAAACTGTTTTACAATTATTTATTAAGCTTTCAAATTTCTTTTCTATTTTTTATCATTAATTGTATTTTTTTATCCCTGTTTTCTTTTTCTTGATGGTTTAATCAACTATTTCAAGTCACGAAAAGTCAAAATGTATTACCTAACTATTCCAATAAAAAGGTATTATTGGCAAATATTTCATATTTAAAATTTTTTTGAAGGAATCGGTAAAAATTATTTGTTGAGTAACTATCTATTTGTTAATAATTTTAAGCTTTTGAAAATTTAAAATTATCATTACATGTAATCTAGATTTATTTTAAAAACTAAATTTAACCATTGTCGTTGTATTTTTTTTTTTTTTTTTTTTTTTTTTTTTTTTGGAATTTTTTAAAGAATTTGAAAATACAGTATATAAAAATCGAACCAACATTTTGTAATAATATTAAAATGCAATAAACAGAAAATAAGCGAATATATTGAAAAAAAGAGGAGGATTTTTTTTTTTTTTTTTTTTTTTTTTTTTTTTTGAATAATTTTATTTATTAAGAGCTTATTAAATAAAGTAGAAACTTAGCAAGATTCTTTTTTTTTTTGAATTTCCCAATTGAAGATCAATATGGTTATTTTTACATGCATTCAACTTTATGGATTTCAAATTTAATAATAGAATTTGATTTTTGACATTTCGATCGAGTTATCGAATTCAAATTCATAGATCATTTATGAACCGGGATAAACTTTAATTAGAAAAAAAATTACCTAATGATTTTATTGTCTTTGACGTTAGTTCCGTAAGTCCGAAATGGCGTTTTAAGGGAAGTGCGTAAATGGTTGTTTATAATTTAATTGTCGATAATGTGGTCGCTTATACTGTATTTCCATTTACGCTAATAAAAAAATTCTACCATATAGGGTAATTTGTACGTACCGTATATGATCAAAATCCACATTTATTTTGCCATCATCAATTGAACTAGTGTGCGGTAGTACGTATACTTGTATCTGTCATGTAACAAAAATATGCACGCGGGATTATTATTAATCTTTAGATGGTTACGCGACATTCTAAAAATAAGAAAAGAAAAGAAAATGACAAATCCAATAAATCAAACATTATTTACAGCTATTTTATAATTTAATTAAATCCAGGGATTATGATAATTTGATATTTGGTAAATAAATGTTTTTCGTGCGAATACAAGTACGTAATTGATCGTCAACATTTTTTTTTTTCCATAATAAATAATCCAAGGAATTTACTGTTCGAGATCACAAAATTTCTCGTGCGTGTAAACTTTGAGAACAATCGAGTATTATACACATCCTAGATCCCTAATGGTTTGATTCAATGTTTTATATGAATGAGTACGTTAGATGGATGGATTGGTTAAATATACTCATTAACATAATTATTGAACCAATGGACAAACGCTGAAACCAATAGTTGTTGGTTACACATTATGAAGATGGTAACACACATCCTTGCATAACTAAAGTGCAGAAGTTCATTGTACGCATGTGTTCGCGCGTTAGCATTAGTTTCTCTATCGTGGCCATTTTTTGGTTCTCGACATTCACGCGACTTTTCAAAATGAACAATTTCCTGTCCGCCACATTTCCTTGTTGATTATTGAATGCGACCAGCACAATATTAACATACAGTATAAACAATCGCGAGTGCTTCATTGGTCCACTTTTCGAGAATTGAATGAACTTTAGAGTTATAACTTATCGTCACATCTTTCTTGTTATGCTTTTTTTAAACATGCACGAACGAATTTCGAATTTATTTTTTCTGTGTTGCGCGACATCTTTTGATCTCACAACGACGTATCTGGCACATTTTTGGTTCAGGTCCAGCTGCCATTTTCGAATGTTAGACAAAATACCACTTCTTTCTCTAGCGTGGAATCTGATTGAGAGTTTCCTTCTTTTCGATTTTTTTTCGATTTTTTTTTTTTTTTTTTTTTTTGTGTGTTCTTTGTGGGTGGATCATGTGAGACAACAGACGATTTGTAAATCAAATTATATTTTTGATCTCCGTCATGCATGAAAGAAACCGGTTTTGTGAAGCAGTAGGTCAAGGGCTAGACTCGCTAGTCGCAATGTGAATTCAAACTTATCCCATTCTGAAACTTTATTCAATCATCAAAATTTCTTTTGATCAATACTATGAATTAATTAATCTAGGTGAAACTTTTTTCTTCTAGTCAATCGTTACATCGTGTAATCATCTATATCCATTTTTAATCCGAGAATGTTAATCGGTATTCCCCATCACACCTAAAAATCTTTACTTTGTACCCACCGGACGTCAGTTTACACATACTGTATCTTGAATAAATTCATACGTCCGATTTTTTTCCGGCGCCCCACCCTCTTGCTTTTTTTAGCCATGTGTCCCTTCACCATGGAAATTCTGGAATTGACTAAAGTGTAAAAAAGGGCATTTCGGGTTTATATACAATATTTCTGTATCTCGGGTCTGATTCTGATTTCTTTTTTCTCGCAGTCTTTTTACACTCCGTTTCCGGAAATAAGTAAAATTCAACTAGCCGGTAATAGAAATCGCTTGACCTAAAAATTTTTTTTATTCCGTTTGTGCCTCGGACATTTATTTCATTTATCCGTAATAAGTTTTCACATGAACAACGGTTGATTTGTTTGTTTCACAATACTCAAGTTTTTATCTTAAAATTGATTTCTCCGTATTTTACAAAAACGTTTCAAAATCTTATCTCAAAAGAGTTACACTCGAAATGTGTCGATCGGGTTCGCCAATAATTTCTTCTATTCATTCGCCCCAACCATTAGGAGTGGGTAACACGCGGCGATGACAATTAATTTAATCACTCGACAATCTCCATATCGGTCTTAGCTTTAAACAACCTTCTTGTAAACATGGATCCATCACAACATGCTGTGATCATTGATCCGAAAGGAAACGAATCAATTGGTCGAGAGCCGATGGATCGTGCTTAACACACCGGGTTCGGTGTGAGGATGGCATGCAGGTGGTGTCCGCAATGCCGACAACGGTGCACGCGTACGTGTACGCGCATACATAAAAAATAATAAATAAATAAAATAAATAAAAAGAAAGAAAGAAAACACTTTGGATGATACGTCAGTGTGTACAGGTGATCTTCGCACATCCAATGACCTGCATCCGAAGATTGTTACCACGTTAATCGAATAAATAACGAAATGGGTGAACAATAATAATAAAACGTCTACGTGTTTCATGAGAGTCCCTTAGATCGCATTATGTGCATATGTGCCATATGTACTGTTATGTGGTATGAAAGAAAACTGATGAGAGGTTAGCACGTACTGTGTGGTGTGTATGACCTTTGGGTTAATGTCAAGTCGTGATAATAAAGTTTATTACATATCAGTGTTAGTTTGTATTCCCCGTACACATAAAATATTCAATGCAACATTTTTTTTTACGTTTTTTCTAATGAGGAATGATATTACTCATGCGTTTCGAATTTATATAGGCACAGTGTATAAAAAAAAATTTTTTTAAAAATAAAATAATAATAGTGAGATGAACTAGGCTTTCCTTTTTTTATCACTTTTTCATATATAATAACCGTTCCACGCTTTTCCAGAAATATTTTCAGTGGTGGTAATGGGTATTCTTATTCATCTCATTTTAATAAATTTGATTTTGAATTTTCCCCTGTAGAGTTGACAGGTCAATTTCACCTTGCTTTCCTTTCTCATCCCTTTGTCCACCCAAGACACAGCGGCGGCGGCGGTTTGCTTGAATGTCAAGAGACTCTTATCAAATTCTTTGAAGATATCAATTGTAAGAGTTCACATTCTCTGGACGCAACCAAGATCTCCTCTTTCTTCTTTTCTTTCAACAACGGCAGGACCATTGAACATAGATCACCCCTCCCCTTCACTTCAACCTTCACACTCGAGAACAAAAGAACGAATAACGCGAACTCCTTTTTCTTTCTCTTTCTTTCTTTCTTTCTTTCTTTCTTTCTTTTTCTTTTCTTTTCTTTTTTTTTTTTTTTACATTTTAGAAAAAGAACTTTTTAGTGCGGTTTGCTTAAAAAATTTTCAAAATAAAAAAGCGATGCTCGCCCCGGACGCCTTAATATACTATGCCCTTCATTTCTTCTCAATACCACCGTTAATCTTCCTGTTCATAGTTCATAGACGATGCCCTGCCATATCATGCTATTCCGCCACTCTTCTCCTGGATTCCATAGTATCCGGGGTAACAGGTCTAATAATAAGCACCTCGAATAATGAAGTGCAGGTAACCAAGATATGTCACGCTCAGGTGGTGTTGATGACTTACGTGTTATGCAGTCTGGCGATATGGCCGGCGTGTATCGAGTTCGCCGCTTGGATTGGGTTGAGCAACAGTGTATACAAAATGGAACCGATGGAGAGGCCGAGAAGAGATGACACAATGAATAATAATACAAGAGAAGGTGGATGCAGTGAAATACTTCAGATGACAAGAAAGTTATTGTACGGGTGCATGGGTGCGGGATGGTTATTTCCGGCATTTATCACAATACTCATGATATTCTTGATGAGAGATGCGAAATTTGAACCTTTGAATTATCATTGCACGATCTCCGGGAATAACACAGTGTAGTGAGTCTTTTTTATTTATCGAGAAGGTTTCTTGTCCCGGAGAACTCGTGAACTCACAGATAAAACCTCTTCACCTTCCATCTACAGTGCGCTGAGCATTTTCTCAGTATGTCTGGTATTCGTAATCGCCACGATGATATTTTCAAGTATGCAAATTGCGTTGACATCCTTGATGACTCGTCCTCCCCTTCCACGCTTGACCATTTAAAAATTTTCGCCTTTCTCTCTTGCAATAGTGTGGAACATGATACTGATAAGAAGATACCAACAGATAGGTCGAAGTGTAGGTTCTCTAAATGATATCTCGCTACTTAAGAGAATCCCGATATTTGGTATTGCCGTTTCGATTATGTTGCTCATCTCTTTGGGTATGTGAGTCGCGTGAAATGTGATTTCTCTTCTTTCTCTCTCTCTTTTTTTTTTTTTTTTTTTTAAAAAAATATATATATATCAAAACGTGTCATTCATTTACCAACCTCCCTAACGCGCGTTCTTTCGCATTCCAACAACTCAACAGCAACAGAATTGATTTACGACACCAAACCTCCTGCCAAGGACATTGGATCTTGGCCCGACTTTTTAATTGCTCTACTACCTTACCTTACGTTCAGTGAGTGATCGAGTTTTCGTGAATCGAAATCTTCACGTGCAACATCCCACCTAACAAAACGATAAATTCCTTTTAGTAATCTTTGGTGCAAATTCGAACTTGCTGATGAACAGGTTCCCTTGCTCTGCGCCGCTCACCGGTTCCACTCACACTTCGTTAGAAAGTTCGCCAACCACTGAAGTTCACATATCACTATTCCCGCAACAAATACGCGAAAACTTTTCATTATCATCATCGACGTCACAAATGACGCAAGAGAAACCGACGACACCACTCCGTTCACTCTCACCGGGTCCATCAACATTTAGCCAACGGGTGGGTCCAAATTCGCTAGATCCATTTATGCACCGAAGGAACCCTTCGCTCACCATCAAGATCACGAACGATAATGTTAACCGTAACAGAAAGGGTAAATGCAAAATATCCACGACTATTTCGAAACGAAAGAGTAATTCGTGCAAAAGATCCCTTGGATTTGAGCGCACCACTCGTGAAAATGACGGTGGTAAAAACGGGAAAAGAAAAGAATCGGACATCAGCGCTTCAAGTGGTAAAGATACGTCAGCTATGAAAAGCGGGGTGTCGATGAATTACGGAAGGAGATCACCACAAACCACCGCGCAACCACCAATAATAAAAAATGGTGCAGAATGTGGAAGTACCAGTGAAACTTCGTCTCGTGAGTCTAAATTTTTTTTCCTCGGCAAACCAAGATGAACTCCGTTTACTGACTGACGCTTTTACGCGTCAACGATGATTATCATGATTTCATATTCTTAGCCTCTTCAAGCCTGGAGGAGTCACCCGATGATAGATCAAGCGAAGTTCAATATCACAAACAATTCTCATTTGAGAAACGTTCAAAGGTCGATTCGATAATAGAAATTCCACCTAATTTCGAAATCAATACGAATGAGAATAACGGTGAAGATAAGGGATCCCTGAAAAAACCCAAGTCATCGCCGGTCAAAGTTGTCGTTCGGCGCCTGTCATCACCACCATTCAACGGCGCCCTAAGAGAATTGCCAATAATAATGAATTCATCGCAAAGTTTGGAAAAAGAGCGCCCAGGAATTAATGGAACATTTTCGTCATCGCAAAAGCAAAGGGTCACGCTAACACTCCCGGTCGTCAGTTTTGCGAGGTCAGAATCACGACCACCATCACAATACACCTTTAATCACACCACCAATTTAAGTTCACCATCGAAGTCCGAGAAATCCTTCTCGGATTCATCGAATCCCCGGTACAGCGTGGGCACGTTATCGACGAAGTCATATTGCAATAATGGTGGGTTCACGTTGACACCACGGGAGAATTTACCGTTGTACATACTGAATAGAAACTACGCCGAACCATCCTCGATTAAAAGCGAGGGCGAGAGCAGCGGTGGATTGTTGAGCAAATGGTCGGCGACGTCCGATCTGGGATTTTATGAAGAAGAAAAAATGAGGGAGTTTAGGCGATTCGTGAAGTCTTGGAACCCTGGGATCCCAAGTACTTGAATCCTGTACAGTCGAGAGATAGATAATAAGGATCTCATCAAACCACTGCTGATAAGAATACTTGTTGCTAATATGTATATTATAATTAGTTAATGTACATTGCGGAATATGTCATACATACAGATCTATATATATATATACAGTATATATGCATGTATCATTCGATGAAACATATGGTTTGCATTTATTTTTCAGAGTTAAAACATAAAAGTGCTTTCTTGTGATATTGTTCATTTGGAATTTTAAAGATCACCCTTCTTGGACAACCCAACCTCCAAAAACAATCATTAAACACCCGTCTATAATATTCCAAAATCTATACTATTACATGGTTTGGCAAATTTGAATTCTTTATAAACATGATATCTCTATGCGCCAACGGTACATTTGATCCTCCTCTCGTTTGAACGAATATTTTTCTTCTACGAACGCGCAACCCTAATAACGATTAATAAATCGCGCCCAAAACAATTCCTCGGTCAAGTTGAAATCATCAAGATTTATCAACTCCTTTAACTTACGTGTTCCTCTAATCTGATTCCAATTTTCACCGACGAATCTCAATACCTTGTATTTCAGTTCATCATCATTCACCCTCTTGCTAATCCTGAGGATGTCGTCCCAATTCTCTAGGTCAATGGCATTTCCGAGTCTCTCTAGAATCAACCCTTCGAATTCTCTATATTCGAATGATTGCGCCACCACGATCAAATGTAACAAGTCCTCGAAGGACAATTTCTCGTGCTTCGGCTCAATTCTTCCGGTATAGGCGAAATAGATCATCATTCTGAAATAAAGGTATTTTGTTTCCCGAATCAAAACCCGTTTTGCGCCCGGATTTCGTTTTTCGGGAACCACGGTCAACTCTTCAAACAACCCTTTGAAAAAAGGTGACTTTTCCGCAAGAAATTCGCTGTTGGCATAGATCTGAGACCCACAATCTAATCGGAATATGATGTCGCTACGGACCGGATTATTGAAGAATCCGAGGTAATCGACGTTTCCACCGTTGGAACGAGGTCTGGCATCTATAACCTCGTCCGCATGATAAAAATTCACTCGGATCGCAATTGACGTGGATCCGTCGATATCATCGGGAAATAGGCCCCCGAACTCGCAGAATTTTCGGACCCCATGGTCGGTTATCTCGTCATCCAGGTAAAACACCTCGGTTGAAGGTTGATGAGATCTTAAAAGTTTCATCATCGAATCCGAGGTGCCATCATTGCGGATCGATGTTGCAATGTGCTCGCCTTCAATTTTATACAAATCAAAGCCAACTCTAACAATCTTGGACAGACCGTTTTCCCTCTCGAAATCGCTCGGGTGCGACACGAGAAAGACCGAAATATGATTCTTCTCCTGAAGCAAGACATCATTCGGATAAAGTACCAAGCGCCAAGAATATCTCATGTTATCGGTCCCCGAGGTCCGAGTGGCCGAATCTATTGACGGTGAGGTGAACCTATCGCTATAAATTTCCGAACCACGTGGGTTCTTGAAGAAATCTTGAAAGTCCCTAATTACCCATGTGTAAGAAAAAATTAACCTAAATGCGCTGTCCACCTGCATTGAAGCTTGTTCGGCTTGAGCTAAATGTGTTACGGACGGGGAGCTACTCTGTGCCTGCTTCACCGAATAATACAAAGGGGTATCTGGGAGGCGTCCCGCGTCCAGAATAGTTTGGCAGACCGACGTCATGGCCGACTTCATTTGCGTTCCGGGAGTGCTACTTCGGAAGGACGTCGTGCCTTTTAGCTGTTGGCCAAACATTCTCGATCTTCCCTGCGTACTTTACGCGTTCTGAAAAAGATGAATCTTTCGGTGAGATTCCAATCTATCCAAATCTGGGTGCTTTACTTTGATCATGTGATAGTTCTCTAAATATTTAATATTACTAATATGGGAAGGTGGTTTTTGAATTATTTATTAGGATTCAATTTAATTAATCACTTGAATTGGTTTTACTATTTTAATCTACTTATTACTTCTCCTAGGTTAAATTCTTTATTACCTTTTTAATTAATTTTTTGATTCTAATATCTTAACTAGATTTTACAACTCATATTTAAGTTTTATAAACTTTATGATTTAAGCTGATTAAATTTTCTATTTTTTTTTTTTTTTTATTATTATTTTAATTCTTCTTAAAATTATATATATATTTTATTAGATCTAATTGTTTTTTCAATTTAATAATTATAATATTTTTCTAGTTTTTTGATTTATACATATAATTCTTTATTTTCTAAATGAATTGATTATCTAATAAAAATGAATTTTAGTAATTTAGTAATAATTTGATTGATATTAATATTTATGAAACTTTTAGATATCAATATTTTAGATAATACAAGAAATGATCTTTTTTTGAACAATTTGACTATTATTATTAAGATTAAAAATTGAAGTTAGATATACTGTAATTAAGCAAATTAATTTCACTTTTAATATAATTAATGTAAATTAGGTTTCTAATAATAATAAAGATTATAAAAGTAATAAAAATTGCAAAGGTGATAACAGTTGTAACTATTTTTGTAAAAAATATAATTAATTATTTTTTTTTATTATTTAAATATTTTAATGATATTAATCAAAAATATTATATCAATAAAAAATTATTTATAAGTATTATTATTAATTTTTTGAGTATTCACTGTTAGATTAGATTATAATTTATTAATCAATTGAAAACTAAAATATATTTTCACTCAAGTAGTATAATACATACTATAGTTAAATATTTTCAGCAAATCTAATTAACTTATTATAAGCAATAATAGTCTTTAAATTAAGTTTGACTTTGAAAACAATATTTTGTTCTATTATGGTCTTAAATAAATATTTTTTTAGTTCACTACTTTATTACTAGTAGGTTTTCACTATCAAATATTTTACCAAATCACTGGAATACAAAAAACTACAAAAAGATGGATTGTAAAAAGAAAAAATAATATATTTAAAAATATTCAAATGGATTAATAAGAAAATAAAAAGAAAAAAATAAAATAAAATTCTTCAACTTCTTCTAAAGACCTGCTTTTCAAGACTTCTTTTCAATAAGAAATATTCAATTGATATGATCTTTTTTCTCTTGACTATTAAAGAAACTTATCTATTCTTGATTTAAAAATTTTTTTTTATATATTATTTGAAGAGACATATTGCCTAATAAAAACTTTTACTTCTAGTAACATACTTGGTTTTAATCTTTTTTGAATAGTAATTTTTTATTTACTTATAATGAACAGATAACTTATAATAGATTTCAAGTTCTTATATAATCCAGTAGAAATAGAGCCATGTTGTTTTAATATAATATTTCTAATAGTCATATCTAGTTAAAGAAATTTTATTAGTAAATATCTTCTATTATTCAAAAAATTAATTTTCTCAACCATCTTTTTGCTTTATAGTAATAAAAGATAAATAGTAAAGGGAATCCTTATTAATTATGATGTTCTTTAACAACTTTTAAAAAAATATATTTTTAATAGTAATCAAAGAATTAGAACTCATTATAAATCATGACAACTCTTTCTGCTAATCCTCTGACCACACACAAAAAAGATATTTACAAGAAGTTTTATACTTCAGAGCTAATAATATCTTATCACTTTCCTTAAACCAACTTGAGAACAAAGTTCTCAAGAGTCACCCTACTACCCCACTATCTCTTTTTATATCTTGCTACAAAAAACTTGTCTTCTAGTGGCCAAAAAAGACAACTTCACCCTTTTTATCAACAGCAAGAAAGTTCTGAAAGGAAGTAGACCTAACCTCTTTATCTCCTTCTCACCTGCTTTAGAAACATCACAGAGCCTTATTTGTGATGAAAGACTTTTTGAAGACAACCCCACCACTCTCTTGTCATTTTGAATGCTCTAATAGTGCTCTTTCTCAGTTTTCTCTGAGATATTTTGCCTACCTCAGTTTGACCCTGAATTTTGAGTAGCACAAAGTTTCTAGTGCTATGATTGGTCGATAGAAACACATCAGTGATCCAAGATGTAAACAAGTTTCCATTGGCCACCCCACGTGTCTGAATGCATTTTCTCAGTTCCCATAAGAACCTGAGGTCCACCATAAGTTGTATGCCAGTCATATGGGTGGATACAGGATATGAAATCTATAACGTCATTGGCTACACAGAAAGAATAAAGAAACCTGAACTAGGATTCATCAGATAGCAAACAACAATCTTCCTCTACTTTTTTTCCCCTTCTCCAGTGTACATAATCAGAAGAAAAAGACTATAAGCTGCAAGATCCTTTAGGAGAGTTTTTGATTACCTGGCACTAGCATATCAGAAAGACAACCCCTGATTTGTTAAACAACTATCTTCCCTCTCCAAATAAGCTCTTGATAATGTTTGATATAAAGAAATTTTTGGTTAGCACTAGTGGAGTTAAGGCTCCACATGAGGGATCCCCTCATCGGAGATGAAGGGTACCACAAGTAAATCCTTGGCACATTAGCCCCACTCCTTTTGAAATTGGGATAGCAATAAGCTGCTCAGTAAACTATGTTTTTGTCATGTCTCTAGGGAGTGTCGGGTGTGATCTTGTAGATAATATAGTTAAAAGTTTCTTTTACTCAATGTTATTCCTTGTTTTGTTTTAGTAAGTAGTATATCTATACTAGACAGTCATGTAATTATCTTATTCTGGTTGGGTGAGACATAAATAGTTTGCTCCCTGTACTATTTGTTGATCTGTAAATCCTTAGACAGTATAGGTAATTATTAATTCCAGTTGTTCCTAGGTTTCTCCTTGCTTTAATAAAACATGTTCACCCTGACGCGAGGATGAGCTAGCGTTAAAAAAAAAAAAGAGCTCAGTATAAATTAGAATTTATTTGATTTTATTGTTTAATTAGGATAGAAAAAAGATTTTGATCTTGAATTTTATCTAACTAAAATAGTAAGAAAAAAAGATCTTAGCCTAAACAAATAATAGTTTTTTTATTACTTAAAACTTATTGCTCATATCTTATTGATATCATAGAATTTAATCTATATAATAATTTA